CCAGTCCTCAGTTTGCGATCCCCACACCCGGCGTACAGCCAGTGTTCACGCAGTACTTCACCCGCGGTAACGGTCAGGACATTGAACTACAGCCCCAGTCGGCGCCCCTAAGCCCGCCCTCTAATAATCTCGTGTGGGCTCAACAACAACGGGAGCCGATAGCGCAGCAACAACTGCTCGACTTCTTTCACCCGACACAACAGACTACACCCCAACAGCCCCTTGTGTTTGAAGCGCCGGCCACTCGACCCATACAACTCTTCTCTTCACTCGACAACTCAGGTCTCTCTTACTTTCCCGAACAACAGCCCCAACAGCAGCTCCGGGAACATCAGCCTCAGCCCTTTGGTGGCTATACTCTTGTACTACAGCACAGGGAAGCGGGACAACAACGACAAGTGTCAGCCCCTCAGACACCCTCTGAGCCACAGATCATAGAACAGGAGAAAGTGTCTGAAGAGAGGACTGAATCTCAAGGTTTGTGTTGTCGTCGCTGTTCTTCGCTGACAATAATATGTGATTTTTATTTATTATTTCAATTTCAGAGCAACAGTTGAGACCCATAGCAGCCCAGCAAACAGTATTGCCAACTGTGCCCTTAAGACAGACCATAGAATACCGACCATTACCTGTCCTCCAACGCCAGGAGCCGCTGGTGTTTGAGCCGCAAGTGTACGAAAATGTTCAACAGTACGAACCGCTCCAACAATCGCCAGAATCGGCTGCCGATCAACAATCAGCGGAAGAGAGCCGCGCCTCCGCTCCGGTCGAGACGTGTGAATGCGCGCGACAACAGAGCCAACGCGTGGAGGCCGTGAAGGGCCAGTCGTCGGCGCCCAACGCAGCCGTCAAAGGGACTCACATATCGCCGGCCCGTAATCTGAACGCATTCTTACCTCACGCTTACCGTAACTGATAGGGAGGGCCCACACGTGGGCACACATTATGCCAATTATTCATTTATTATATACTTTTTGTTAAATCTCTGAAATTGTATTAAATATTATATAAAATGAATGCAAAAACTAATTCATAAAACATTATTAAATATTTAGTAATTAAATCAAATTTATTGTATACAAAAATGTCAAATATTGTATAACCTTTGGTAACCAATTTATTGTGCATTATTTGTAATCTGGGTTATTTTAAACAACATTTTGCAACCAAATGGCATGATTTACTATATTCTACTGATGGGCATCGACTCCATAGCTAAAGAACTGTTGCATTGCTAACTTGGCCTTCAAGGGAACGATCCTGTGTTCAAACCATACAATTAATTGAAAGTCATTTAATTTAATTTCAAACAACTTTATTGTCTAACACTTACTTTCCGAGTCCATAGAAATATAAGGCATTCTTCGGTACTGTAATCAGTGTTTGGTTTCTTAGTATTGCATTAACCGTCTCTTTGGCCACATATTTAGCATCGATTACAGGGAATATCCAATTGAATCTATCAATCAATTCAATTATATACAATATATTTAATTAATGAATTAAATGCACCGGAATTTAGTAATAATTGAATTGAATTGAAAATATTTTGCATAAACAGGGTTTGAATGCATACCTAGATCTGGGTTTCTTAAACATGCCGGTAGTCATAGCGAGCGGACATATTGTGGTTAATTTGATGCCATCGTTAATCTCATTCTGTCTTAACTCCATTTCCAACGCTTCCATTAGTCCTATGATCGCAAACTTTGAAGCGCTGAACGTTTGATATGTGTTTTAGTTATATTGCATATCAAACTAAATGTGTTTCTCATACCAATAGTCGACGAGATGTGCGGTCCCTATGAGGCCAGCGATTGAAGAGATGGCCACTATATGTCCGACACCACGGCTCACCATTTTGGGCAAATAATGGCCAATCAGATAAAAGTGGGCAAAAGTGTTCACTTCAAACGTTTTCTAATTAATCAAACTCTTATTAAATATAATTTTTCATTTTAAATAACTTTAAAAATAAGTATAACTTTTATAAAAATACCTTAATGTTTTTGGTAGAAAGCGATTCAAACGGTAAACACTGTACTATTCCTGCGTTGTCTACAAAAATAAAATATTACTTACATTAAATTTTCTATCATTAAGTTTGATGTGTTTAATAAAGTAATGAATTACTTATAAGAATATCGACATCTCCTAAATCGCGCTGAATTTGTTGAACCACTTGTGCCACCGCTTCCTCATTAGTTATATCACAACAATAGCCGAACACATGTTTACTTCCAGTTATATCTTTGATCTCTTCCACAATCCTTTCATTATTTGTCTATTTTTATAACAAAAACTTATATTTATTTCATTATGGTTTGAAAACATTTTTCATGGTTTTGCCTTAAAATCCATATTTTAATCATAACTTAAAGTTTTTCATTTATATGACAGTAATGTAAGGATAGAAATGACAACAAATAAATGTTAGTTTTAAGTTACCTTGTTAATATCAATTAAGGCGAGTCGAGCCCCCAGTTTGGCAAATAATTTAGCGATCTCAGCGCCCAACCCATGTCCAGCACCCGTAATCACTACCACATGATCTCTGATATCCTTTTTTGGCACATTTCTGAATATATTAATCAAACACTCGATATAAGCGCTCAATATATTATATAATAGTATACATATTTCTACGATTGTATGAACTGACATATTGTCCTTAATTAACACTTTATGATCAAAATATTATCTCTTTTGATAGAAATGACTATAAGACACAAAACAATACAAAAAGTATAATAAAGTAACTGACAATATCCAGGTAATTGACAAAATGATTATAATTATCACAACTGTTTATATAATTGTGTAAATAACTGATGATTTCCTTTGTATGATATAAGGATATGTTTGTTATTATATTATATAATAACTTATATAACATGTGTACAAAAATAGCATTCAATTTAAATTGACATTTAAAGCACACGTCGATACCTGTGCTTATAATATGACCTCATTTTTAGGCATTTCCTTAGGGAAAAACAGGATCACTGAGTCTTAACAGTAAACAGTTTACCAAATAATATAGTGTTATCTCATAGAACCGGTCTCTGTATACTTACTGTACAATATATCTCAAAGTTTATGAATAAACATTAAAAAACAGGTAATTTATTAATTGTTTTACAATCCAAATCTACCATCATACTTTTGTTTAGTATGATGATAGTAATGTAATGGTTGAATATCATACGTACATATCACTAACAAAAATATTTAGACATAAGAATATTTAGATTAATTAATAAGATTTGGAAACTTGCAAAAATGTGTTTGAATTGATAAATATATTTATTATTATAACTATTTATTTATTCTTTATTTTTATATTCAAATTGAATAATTGTAAGTAATGTATAAATTAGAAAATAATATTAATTATATTATAAGCTATTTAATTATTAAATAATTAGAATATTTTTACAATTAATACAGTTATAAATTAACATTTACACTTAACTTATATTTAAAATAAATTATATTAATTATTATAATACAAATCGCACGGAATTTTCATTAATTAAACGTTGAGTTAAGTTTTATTAAATTAATTTTATTGAATATTTATCTCTTGTGCTAAACATTGCAATCAAATGAATGAATAAATAAATTAATTTAAATGTTAGTCACATATAGTGTACTCTAATATAAAGTCTATACTTTAAAAACACCTTGATGATTCAATAACCACGTCATATTATTAATGTCCCCTATTTTATTCTGCCGAGTTATAGTATACAGTATGTGATAGTTTGGCACATCTATGTGTAGCACAGGTATGCGCTGGGAGTTTATGATAAGGGGGACGGATTGTAATGGCATTTCTAACTGTAAATGTGGGCTAACAGTGCATTGAGACGGCATCTCCTTGTGGTGAAAGTCCGCCCGTTTTTTTCGCTCCGACCCCACAATCAATCACACAATACATCGCATATTCAACAAAAACGGGAGAAGTTTTTTAAGCAATTAATTTATATTTAAAGAAAGTTTTCTTTCGCATAGATTTCCATTTCATTTGTGTCTCGAGTGGAGAAAAGTCTCAAATATAACAATAATTAAACGCAAAACTTTCACTGAATTTTATTTATTGAAAGTTTTGAATTTGATTGTATTTTAGTTAAAATAATTTATTTTTAAGTGAATGAATTAATTGAATAAATACTATGTTATTTAAAGTAAGAGATAAACTGAATGATTGTTTTATACTAATTTATAAATTGCTTTATAATTGTTTAATAAACTACATTATTTGTTATTTGAATAGCATTTGGTATTATTGTTGTTATTTACGGCGATTTGCGCCCAAAAGGGTGGCCGACAGACGTCGGCCTCCGAGGGCTCGCCATCCGTACAAAGATCTCCATCTCATCGCGTCTTAAGCTCTACACGAAAGTCGTCTCAACCCTCAGAAGACGTACAACAGGTATGAAAATACTGTTTACAGTAATTGTTTAAAAGCTTTTCAATAGTTAATTACTGTTGTATAAATACTTTGCAAATAATATTATATAAACTCGTATAAAAGTGAATATTGCAGACAAGTTTGTTCACTATAAAGAGTGTTCACTATTATAATAAATAATATCATTGTTTGATTTATAATTCAGTACATTATATATTTGCTTTTTATTTGTGTTTAACAACTGAATAAAGAGTCAGTGCATAAGTGCTTATATAAAAACCAATCTATTTATACGATTGTATTTTAATTAGAATAAAAATAATTAGTTTTTTAAACCAAATGTTTTATATGTTTGTCAGTTATTTATTTGGTTTGTTTGGCACTAAAATATAACTCCCAATGAATTGTGTTTCACTTATATAAAGGGGTATTTAAACTGCAAATCCTATGATATAACACTTTAGCCCTTCCGTAACCCAAATAATTCCTATTATATTTTGTTGTATTAATGTATAATTCAATTGTAACTAATTTAAAAATAAATCGATACAAACTACACAACATTAGTTTTGTATACATTTTGTTTAGTTAAATTCATAATTTAAAAATATATAATAAATAAATTATACATTTTTGCAATTAATCAATCTGTCTGTTAATATTGTTTAATGTTTTGTATACGATTTACATACAATTGTTAGCATTTATTTATACATTAATTATTAAGAATTAGTTTTAAAAATCATATATAAATTATAAAATAAATAAAGATTTGTTTTATGCAATTAAAAATATAATTAATTATAATTATAATTTGCTAATTAGGTTCAGGAACCGGACAGAGACGTCGATGAGGACAGTGTTGTGGTGGCGGCGGCTAAGCCTACCCGAAGACCGGCCCGACCCTCGCAACCGCAACCACAGCGTCCGCCGCCCTCTCGACCACAGGCTCCCGAAGAAGGGGAGGGCGAGGGTCACGAACCGAAGCCCGAACCCTATTCCTTTTCATACTCTGTCGACGATCCCGAGACGGGCGCCGCCAGCAGTCGGGAGGAGTCACAGGACGCCAACGGAGAGATCACTGGTATTCAACTCACAATTAATTGAATTATTTATGAAATTAATGATTATTTTATTGAATTGTTATTTAAATAATTTTTTATTATAGGTTACTATGATATTAAGGACAAAGACGGGCGAACCCGACGGGTCGAGTACACCGCAGGAAAGGATGGCTTTAAAGTAAGTTATCATTTGTTTCGTTTAATTGATGATTATTTCGCAGTTTAGGCGTTGATTTCCATAATATTTGTAAGTTATGACTAAATTATTAAATAAAATAAAATATCAATAAATAATAATTGCAACAAATATCCATATTAGTGGTGAATATAATTTACTGTAATTTATAATTTATAAGATATGGGATTTTATGCCATTTCTCTAACCATAACACTCAACACTGAGATGTGATTAAAATGCAAATCAATGGGTTATCTCTTGAAATCGATTAGATTTTATGAATTAAATTACGGATGAGTTTTACATTTTTTTTTTTGTTTTTACGGAAAATATTTCTATTCATAAATGAATTTAAAAAGTAGTTATTATAATGTCTTATTATTTGCCTAATTTATTATCTTGTTATTAAGTAATATCAATCGCATTGTTTAATATCTACATTATTAACTGTATTAACACTTAATACCTTTAAAAACAAGTTATAAAACAAATGTTTGTTTATTATCATTAAAACACGTTATGATTCTTAAGATCTATTGTTTAAACAGAAAGTTCTCACAAAATTTAATGTCAATTAATTGATTAGATATTAATATACAGTGTATTTTGTTTTGAAAGTAAAACACCTTTTAGAGAAATATATAATTCAGTATTTTTATGAGCTTTTTTACTTTTACCCCAATTTTAAAATACAATAAAAAATGTTAAGAGGTTTTAGTTTAGGAATTGATATCATATTTAAAAATACATTACATTTAATCTCATTATTGATGTATTTATTAAACAATACAAAAATAAGTATAGAAATGAAATGACTGACAGCTTCTTGAATAACAAACGAAAGTATATTTTATGGTTCACTGAATATCATAAAAATTGCTGCAAATTTTCAATTATATTCAGTTATTTGAATAGTATTTACAACAAAACCACAATTTAGTTCATACTGTGTATAATAATTGTTGTTATAATTTATAAAGTGCTGTATAATAGAAATGCATTATATTTAATAATGTGGTGTTTTGTAAAAGTTAATCTTTAAACTTAATATTTCATTTGATTTTTGCAATTATATTAAAATAGATTTTTAAAAATAAAAATAGTTTTATGAAAAATAAAATTCAAATTTAAATTTTTGTCTGACATATGAAATGTAGATTAAGTGAGTGTTTATAAGAATAATGATATAATTTCTCTAAAAACAGTATATTATGTAATAATTTTTGTTAAAATGTTGTTTTCAATTCATATTTAATAATTTAATTTAATTTATTTAATAAAAATATAGAGACTTTTGTTTAGATTGTAAGAGATATGCTTTAAATACATACAAATTGGGTTAGAATTAAATTCTCAATTTGTTTACAAAAATAAAAATTTTGTTTTTTAGTACAAAACTTTTAAAATTTGTAAATACAGTATATATTACTAATCCGACAATTTGACTGTTAAATTAGTACAGATCTCAAGATATGCTTAATATACGAGAAATTATAATATTAATTAAGGTTGTATTAGGATTTTGTTTGTATTGATGTTACAGTACTCTCCATATAAAGTGTGTGTTAAAAATCGTTATCATATTTATTACCACAAAAAAGTAATTAAAATTGAAATACAGTAATATTTAGTCAATGATTTAAATACTTAAATTTTATGCATCTATTCGTTGATTAAATGCTAATATATTTACAAATAAATTACATTTAAATAAAATAAAGTTACAACAAATATAAATGATTAGATTCATAAATTATAATTTACAACTTGCATGTAAATTATGTAAAATTTATGTAAAATTATAACTAACAATGTCATATTATTTTGCCAATACATTTATTACAACAACAAAATGGGTAAAAAACAATATAAATTAAACCAATTTTATAACAATTCAATATAACTCATAATTTATTGCATTTGTTTTAATTAACTTTAATTTAATTATTACAATAAAGGCGACCATTAAGTCCAACGAAGAGGGACTGAACAGCAGAGCGCCGGCAGATGTGAACATCGAGTTGAGTGAATCTCCATCCGAACGGATCCAGTCTTACGCCCCGAACAACCGTCCGCTCGCCTCAGAGACATCTATCAAGGGTTTCGGCCGACCTATCGGTGCCGGCGAACGCTTTTTCCAACGCTTAGTACCACTTCCAGCGCCGGCATCACCGGTGGCCACACAACTCAGACCAGCGGAACCCACTTCGGATGACTCACGCATTTCACAGACTTTCGATACTCAACAGCGAAACACCGACGAAGACGAGGACGCGCCTCAAGAGAGTGCGCCCGTCAAAGGCCGCCCATTTGTCGCACAGCCCGCGCGGCCCGTTGTCATCGCCCGCCAGCGACCGATCGGTACGTTTGCGCCCCAACGCGTCCAGTCGTTCCGAGAACGGGGCGGCGTTACCGGTGCTCAACAACTCTTTGAGCCACAGGTCCGCCAAGAAGTGCCCAATTCTATACAGGGTTTGTATTAAACACTACACTATAAATACATCCATTCATTATAAATATCTCTTGGGCGCAGATATTCAGCAATCGGTGCAAACATCGCAACCACTCATCACTCCAGCCGTCGGCACAAAGACCGCAAGCGTTCGCACATTACCCGCAGTAAGACCGGTGTCACCTCTATTGGGCGCCGCCAGTCCTCAGTTTGCGATCCCCACACCCGGCGTACAGCCAGTGTTCACGCAGTACTTCACCCGCGGTAACGGTCAGGACATTGAACTACAGCCCCAGTCGGCGCCCCTAAGCCCGCCCTCTAATAA